AAGAACAAAACGACAGCAACTAGTCTGTTCCCCTTCCCCCAATTCCCCAGCACTGTTCCCATCCCCCCAATTCCCCAATAAAAATCTTTAAAAAAATAAAATAAAATAAAATAAAATAAATGCACCTGAACAACAGCAGGTAATAATTCAGAAGAACAAAAAAGGAAAAATACAAAAAATGTAAACTATGAGCTCTTACAACATAAAGGGATTTAACAGAATCAATTTATCAGGAAAAATATTTTTGAACCCAAAAGCTCTAGAAAAATATTGAAGGTAAAGTAAATAGGGTTCATTAATAACCACAATCAATGTGTTATAAATATAAAATATATAAAGTAACACATTATTGAAACTAAAGATGCTGTACACCAGCATATCCAAATAAACACCCTATATGTGCACAAATAAAAAAATCATCTTCTTTGATGACAAAGAGTTTCACTCCTTAAGTAAAACTACTTATTGGGTTGTCGGAAAAGTCATGATGCATTTTTGCAATGAAAAACATAGAAAAGATACGTCATGATTTTTCTGACAACACAATTATTTGATTCAAACATTGCACTACAGAGGTATCTGAAGTGCTGTGTATTAGTGAGACAGCATGGAAGGGCAAGTGCACTGAACTAGAAACTTGGGCATCTCAGTTTCAGTCTGCTCCTCTGCCAATATATGACTCTGGGCACATTATTTAAGTTCCCTGAGACTCAGTTTCCTCATTAGTAGAATGGGGATAATACGTACCACTACCCTATCTACTTCACGGAGAGTTTCTACAATGCTTAAATGAGATAATAAAAGATGAACCTTTTCTGTAAACTGCCATGTGCAGTTTATACAAAGACCCTGAGTTGTACAATAATAAAAGTAGAATTATGGAATTAGAATGTGGACCACAAGATCAGTTAAGGTCCTTCCAACTCTTAATTCCATAACTCTACTTTTATTATGTACAACTCAGCATCTATGTAAATAATATACCGACATAGCCAACTGAGGTGGGTTTATCCTGAAATAAGAGCTTAGGTACTACCTACTACCACCTGACATTTACATAGCATTATAATGCTTATATTATCAGCATTGTAATGCTTATGGTATTACATAGCATTATTACTATGTGTGGGGCATTGTTCTGAGTGTTTTGCATGCATTGACTCATTTAATTTTCACAGCAACAGAAACTGGTGATCTCAAATGACAAATTACAAGTGGAAGAGCCATATTGTGGCTTATGAAAAACTTTGACTTGTATTTCTGTATCTTAGTGCTTTCAAGATGCTTTTCACAGCTTATTTGATTCTTCCTTACCATGAAGTAAATAGAGCAGGAATTCTTTCCCCTAGTTTACAGAGGAGGAAACTGAAGCTGAGGGAGGTTTAGTTCCTTGTCCAATATCACAAGTGTAACAGCAGCAAAAACTAGATCTTAAACCTCTGTCTTCTGATGCCTAATCCAGGGTTTGCCCATCATCATACTATGCCCGCAACTAAAATAAACAGATGAAAACCACAAATTCTGCTAAACTGAACTAACATAATTTCTTACAAGGTACTCATCAATACAAAAACTCAAGCTATTGGGCTCTGAAGTAATTTTTTATACGAAACTGCTGACGCTATAGTGAAAAGTAACTTCTTGAATTGGTTGTGTCAAAAATACAGTAGGGGGCCGGCCGAGTGGCTCAGTTGGTTACGAGTTGGCTTAAGAGCATGAGCTCTGAGCAACAGGGCCACTGGTTTAATTCCCACATGGGCCAGTGACGCTGCACCCGAGCTGAGCTGTCACTGAGCTGCCAACAGGTGGCAGGATGGCTCAGCTGGTGTAACAACAAGACTGCCTGTTGGAGGGTGGGCCACGCACACCGGAAACTAAGACCAAGACCGAACTCCGCACCTTGAGCTGAGCTGCCACCCGGATGGCTCAATGGATAGAGCGTGCGCTCTTAACAACAAGGCCGCCAGTTCGACTCCCACATGCGATGGTGGCTATGCCCACCCGCACCTGAGTGTGAACTGAGCACCTTGAGCTTAGAGGCCATGAGCTGCCAACAGGCAGCCAGATGGCGACTGGCACCCTCCAAAACGAAGATTGAAGAACAACAACTTGTCTGCTCCCCTTCCCCAATTCCCCAACACTGTTCCCCTCCCCCAATTCCCCAATAAAAATCTTTTTAAAAAATACAATAGGGCAAAATATCTTGGTAGCAAGAAATTTAAATCAGTAATTGCCCTTAATAGTATACTTAAACACTTCAAGTACAGACGCAATTGTTAAGAAAAAGAAACAAACCTGAACCTCAGACCTAGTTGCTGGACTACAACCTGCTGCTCATTTTTTGGCTAAGGTGTGTCTTGCAGCCCAGGAGGTAAGATGAACATAAAAAGAAATGGCAAAAGGCTACTAATAGAATGGAGGTAGAATAAAGTATATGGAGAATATCTGCATTTCTTGAAGCCTTTCCTATTGGTGAGTAACACAACTTAATGAAAAGTTTCACAACAGAATGACATGTCACCAGAAATCATTTTGGGGATTCAGGCTATAAGATTGCACTATAGGTAAAACCTCTATTTTACCAACGTACTTCCTAACTGTAAATCCTAATCAGAAGGGTCTAAGACAGCGGTTCTCAACCTTCCTAATGCCGCGATCCCTTAATACAGTTCCTCGAGTTGTGGTGACCCCCAACCATAAAATTATTTTCGTTGCTACTCTATAACTGTAATTTTGCTACTGTTATGAATCGTAATGTAAATATCTTTGTTTTCCGATAGTCTTAGGCGATCCCTGTGAAAGGGTCGTTCGACCCCCAAAGGGATCGCGGCCCACAGATTGAGAACCACTGGTCTAAGATAATTCCAATTTATACTAATATGACTGTACCCAAAGTTTATTAAAGTGTGCATAAATTAATCAAGAAATTGTAATTAGAAAGGAACCAAAAGTCTACTTAAGGACCCATTTCTAAAAATAAAAGCCATATACATCTCACCTCAAATCATGCTAACCAAATCTGGTTAACCACATTGATACATACCTGATAGAGTTCTTCTAAATTGTACTTTATCGAAGTACTATTCTGGATAGCTTCCACTGCTTCTTTCAGTTTCTGCCATGTTTCATCTGTGTAGTTTTCTGGTAATTTAGGCTTATCTAGATAGTATGCAAAAGGTTGATATCAGGATAATATGTAGGATATAGCAACAGAAGGATCCATAAAATACAATAGTATTACTGCTTTCTAAGGGTAAATTGCGATCTTTATAATTATTACACCTAAATATTAAAGTAACCACTCTATTTATGCTTAGTATAAAGAATAAAATTTGAAATGCCATAATACTATTTAAGTCATTTTGACTCACCTATTAAAACTGAAGGTGAGGTTATTTTCTCCTATTGAGTGTATTGCTTCAAAAAATAAAAATTCAAGAATGACAGATAAAATATAGCAATCCTGATCTTATTCCATCATGTGTAAAATCTAAATCAGTAAAGGTGAATTTTGTATCTGAGATTTAAAATACTGAGTACCTACTATGTACAAAATACTTTATAAATATCTTAATCTTCTGAATAATGCCCTGAGCAAGATATTATTATCCCTAGAAACTGAGGCTGGAAGATTTATTTAGTAAGGTTTGCCCAAGGTCACCACAGCTAGTAAGTGGCAAAATTGGGATTCTAATCCAGGTTTGTTTGACCTCCACACTTATGCAGCATCTACAGAAATGGAGAGAAACATTCTTAATTCAGGTTTAAATTTAAACTACATTTATGAGCAAAGTGAAATTTAAAAAAATGAAAACACCCAAAGAACTCCAGAACCTATGTAGCATTTTCAGAATGAAAATGATCATCTTAATCTAGGCTTTAATTTACATTTCCTTGAACAGCAATGAGTATTTTTTAAAACTGAAACATCCAAATGCCTTAATAATGTTTTTAGATTAGGAGGGAGAGGAAAAAAACAAACAAAATCTCTGAAACCAGGATGCAAATGAAATTAGGATCATAGCTCATCTCTTTAAAAATCCTTGTCTATTAAATTGATATATTTCAAGTGAACACATTAGTCAATTACAATTTATATTTACTTCAGAAAGGTCTACTATTAAATCAGAAAGATTAAAACATTCTTGAAAGAGCCTAGGAACGGGAGAGGAGTGACAGAAAAAAGAAAAGGTTAAAAATAAACAACACTATATCCCTCTGCTTGGGGCAAAAAAGAGCATATTCCTGATTTCTACACTAATGTTGAAAACATAAACATGGAAAATCTAATTTCCTCAATACTGATGTTTGGTCATAAGCACTTATCTGGTAACTAGTACTTTAGTTCATTCATTTACTTCTCTATTTAATAACCAGTTTAGCATCTATTATCTGCCAGTTAAAGGTGTTGAAAAACTAAGTCAGAAAAATAGCAACAGTCAACAGATACAAAGTAATTCAGCTGAATTAACATTTTTTAGATTACTAATTTTATATGTGCATAAATGCATTCATAATACTCTCAATCATATATCTCAAACACAAAAATGAACAAGTTTTCCGAAAAGCTGCAGGTCAGTACTTTAAAACCCATTTTAGTGATAAAATATAGATGGAGTAATTGTTCCTATCTTTAGACTAGTGGTACACAGAGTTACTACTTCTGTGTATACACAATATTTTTCACTTCCAAGCCATACCTTTGGAAAGAAATGCAGAGACCATAAACATTTTTCTCCAAATATTACTTCCACAAAGAGTTTCAAGAATATAGTATCCAAGATTACAAATCTAACTATAAATCTTCTTTGAGCATGAAAATATCATCATTGCTACCTGCATTTCTAAATACTCGAGAAATGTGGCCTACTGAAGCATAAAAATAAAAATCCCAGCAGTGCCAAGGCTCACTATGCACCTGAAATAAATAAAGCTCTTTAGAAAACAAATTTCTCACCTGGAAAATCCGGGTCACTCATACCGATTGTCAATGTTATAAGGAATAACAGATTAGATACAATAGGCTGAGACAGACCTCAAAATTCTGCACAGAAACACCCTGTGTATGCTTCAGCACAAGGATACCAACCATCCCCGGAAAATGAACCCTTCACCCAAAAAAGGACCTCCCTCCACCTCATTGATTATGCGTAAAACATTAGGCCACCTCTAAACTGTTTAATATATTAACATAAATAGAGCACGTGACCGCTCAAGTGTCAAATCCTTAGTAGATGATTATGGATTTTGGCCTTGGTTACCTTTAAAGTTCTTGATCACTAACTTCTTAGCAGAGCCAGGCTTGCTGTTAGCAAAGCTAGAGACGGTGGTAGAAGATTTGGCCAAGCCATTTGCGTGATGCACCGAAGCCACAGAAGAGATTAATATACTCTTATTTTTAAGTTGCTGCTGCTGAGATGTTGCAGCAGTTGGTGAAGATGAGGAGGAGGAAGAGGAGGATTCCTCAGCCATCTTCGCATCAAACCCTACAAACTCCAGGGTGTCTTCAAAACGCAGCTTCTTCTGTATTGGTACGTGGCTGGAAGCAGCCACCGAAACCCCTAGGCAGGAGAAAGACGAGGTTGAAGGGGATGCCGAATCCCTGGGTTGTAAAGGAGGAGTGGAAGAGGAAGAAGAGGTGGAATCAAAGTCTTCTCTCTCGTTACTACTGTTACTGTTGCTGCTGCTGCTGCTGTTGCTGCTGCTGTTTAACTTTCTCTTCTTGGCAGAGGTGGGCGGAGTGGTGCTGGTATTACCATCAGTGGCAGATCTGACCTCCTGAGCAGCAGCAGCAGCTGAGGGATTAGGGGAAGAAAAACCTGTTGGAAACATGAAAATAGCGGGGTCAACAGGCAGAGGAGCATCAAAAACCTACGTTTATATGCCTGCGTGCGTGTAGGAGAGAAGGTGGCAATGCTAGAGGGGGAAGGGAAGAAAGAAAAGAGGAGAAACACAGAGGACGAGAAGGAAAGTGAAGGGGGGACTACACCGAAAAAATAACCGGGGGAATGGGAGGGTTTGGGAAGGCGGATAGGCTGACACCAGGAGTGAGCAGAACAAGGGAGGGCAGAACGAATGAGGAGGCAGACAGGTAAACGGCCCAGCCGTCCCCCTTTCCTGCTTTTCGGCCTCTCTCCCCCCTTTCTGCTGGAGCGACTCAGTGAGTCTGTGAGGCTGCAGCTCCTCCTCCTTTTCTCCCTCTCTCTGGGAGGGGAGATGTCGTGGTAGGGGGGAGGGGGGAGAGAACCAGGGCTTGTTATTGTCAATAGCACAAGAGGCTAAAGATGGCGCCACTTCCGGTCACGCGGCGGCGAGGGCGGGGCGGCGTCTGCTCCCGGGAGTGGGGAATAGAAGTACAGCAGGCGCCTGGGGGCGGGGAGCTGGCTCGCAGGGAGGCTGCAGGAAAGCGGCGCCCGAGAAGCTCATGCCTCTGAGCTCTTGCTTGCTTTCTCTCCTCTCTCTCCCGCTCCCCTTCCCTGGCGGCGCTCTCCTCCCCGGGCCCACCGGTAACTCCCCCCGCTCCATAAGGGTCCCGCAGGAAGCTTCGCGCCGCCGCGCCCTTACCGGAAATGACTGGGCAGACACTTTTCATCGCGCCCAAACCCCGAAGCCCCCCAAGTCCGCAAGACTTAAGGTGGGGGGGTAGAAAAAGGGGGGGGAAGAGAAGTGGACAGGGGAGGAGGGGACGGGCCTTCGAGACACCTTCGGAGCTCCTGATTGGAGCTTTCTGACTGCGAGGCTGGGGGGGGAGGGGGCGGGAGATGGAGCGGGAAGGAGTCTGAAGGGGAGGGAAGGTGGTGACAGGGAGAGGCGGGGTGAGCTAGCTGGGGAAAAAGGAGGCGGGAGAGAGGGACTGAGATATTAAAAAGTAAGGGAACGGAGAATGGAAACTTTAAAAGAGATAAAGGAATACGGAGGCATTGCAAGGCATGGGGAGTACACCGAAATGGAGGAAAACATAATTTTGCCATTATGCTGGCTGCTAGGGAGGACTGTCATAAGGTGAATATAGGAAAGGAAGAGAAAAACAGCTTAGATAGCAAGAAAAGGAGCTTTTTATTTGATTGAACTATTTATGAATTGTCTCTTTTATGTCAAGGACCGCATTGACCCAATAATGAATATGGCCTGAGTTTTGATCCGTTTCTCAGGAATGTAGCTGCAGATGCTTTTACCTTTTTACCAGGAGCATATTCTAAGATGGCTTGCCAGAGTTAAGGGTTCATTCCAAGGCCAAGAAACAGCACGTTAACTAACACCCCTTACACACAACACAATTCCCAGGACCAACTCTGACCCCATCAGTCATTAACCCAACAATTCACAGACTAAACAAAGCCACTTCTTTTACCAAATCTCTGCTCATACACTTTGTCTCAAAGAAGAAATTCTAGGAGAATATTGGCAAAAGTCAGTGTTTTCTACCAATATATTCCAGGAGCCCAAATTTTAAAATGGGTTACTCATAAGAACAAACCTCTAAATTTGGTTAAGCGCAACAATAAACCTTGTAAATTCCGTTGGGAGTTTTTTTATTTAACCCGAGGGCATGAGGGGGCAGAGAACACAGTGTGAAATAAAACTAAATTTGCCAACCTGTTGATCATTTGGTAATCATGTATTGAAAGGCTGTATGCCAGACACTATACCAGGTCCCTGCCATTGAGAAGCCAGTGGGGGAAGATAGGTTCAAAACTAATTTCCCTAACAGTACTATAACAGAAGTACAAGGTGGAAATGGGTTTAAAAAGAAATTTGGGGGAATTTTGGAATAGTCAGAGTTGCACAGAAGAAGTGACATTTACGCTGGGTCTCAAAGTGGGAGTTGCCAAAAAGACAAGAGGAGCGAGGCTGAAAGGCATACTGGGTAGTGGAAACAGGCAAAGGAGGGAGTTGTGAAAAGGCCTGGCCTGTTTATAGAAATATGGAAAGTGCAAGTGAGGCTGGAAAGTAGGATTTCTGGTTGGAAGTAAGGAAGATGAGGTTCAAGAATGTCTGGCATACAAAGTCAGAAATTTTGGAGTACACCCTGTGGGCTAGGATAGACAGCATGGAGACCAGCAAGCAAGCTGTATTTTTTAAAGCAGGAGAGTGACTGGATTGTGGATAGAATAAAAGCAGTTTGTATCCTATAGTTTGAGATAAACCAATCAGAACTCTTAAGAATAGATCAATTTTCTAAATTTGTTTACATAAGCCCACTTTGTTTTTGTCTTGAAATGTCCCTGGTTAAAATGGAAACCCTCCTAGAAAAGGTACCACCTCAGGCCACAATCAGTTTGTGCTATTTGATGACAACCAGCCGAGAACAAGGATCTAGTGGAATTTAGGCTCCAGGGACACAAAGAAGGGAGCTAGAGGCCTGAAAAGGGGAAGATGGACTTCTGTTTTGAATGTACCATATTGCCCTTGCTGCTTAATGAGACTGGAAACTCTTAAGACCAGGGAACATTAAACCCTCCTTCATTGTGTCTCACATTTCACAGATGCTGAACAACTGTGTAAATGCAGAGTAAATACTTATTGAATGGAATAATGTCATATCTTTGTAAGACAGGATTAACTGACTAATTTTCAGGATTTAATGAAAAAGATTGTTCTAATTCATGTAGTTATATTACTAAAAAGGGTGTATGGATGGGCCAGCTGATAATGGCCCAAAAGTATCTGTTCTAAGACGATTTGCATTTTAACCAAGGACTTTTCAAGACAGGAGAAAAAAGTGGGCTTTGTTCTAATTCATGTAATCATATTCCTTAGAATGATGTATGGAAGTGCTAGCTATTTTAAAACTTACAGATATTAGTACAATTGAAAGGCAGTGGACATAAAGATAAAAGAAAACTGCTTTTGCCATACAAAAACAAATTTTTATAATAACATAAAGGATAATATTAAGCTACATTCTAGTAATAATAGCTCCTAATCTGGCATGATTATCTAAGCCCTTCACTCTCCCGAGTTATATGCTAGTTCTAAAGACACAGATCTTGGTTCTTGAGCTTTAGCTCACTTTCAATGACCCAGTAGTTCAACCTACTATTTAAGTTTTCTGTGAAATATCCTCAAGTGAGTTTTGTGGGGAAAAAATATTTTTCTTTTTTTTTCTTAATGATTAATAATGATCTTCCTTTTACTTTAATGAACTTCATTTTACTTTGTGCCAGGTCAATCCTCATTAAATAGCATATCTTTATATGGATATGTAATTTTTTTTTAGATTTTTTTATTGGGGAATTGGTGGGATGGGAACAGTGCTGGGGAATTGGGGGAAGGGGAACAGACAAGTTGCTGTCGTTTTTTGTTCTTCAGTCTAGTTGTGGAGGACGTTGCTTCACTGGCCCAAGTTGGCACCATCATTGCGCTCTTCCCAGGCGAGGCAGATCAGTCGCCGGCTTCTGGATGGCCGCTCACTGCGGCTGCTGGCCGCTCACGCTGGCTGCTGGCTACATACGGTAGCCCATGGCAACCCACTGCAGCAGGGGCTGCAGCCTATGCCCGGCGCCAGCGACTCATGGCAGCCCAGTTCCAGGTTGAGCTGTTGTTCAGCATCTTAGCTGTAGAGGGCAGTGTCACTAGCCGTCATATGTGGGATCTGAACCGGGGCCCTCTGTCGTCCCACACCAGCTCTTAACCATCGCGCCACTCGGCCGGCCCTGGATATGTAATTTTGATAATGACATTTTAATTTAACATTTACATTTTGTGGCACAAACCAGTTTAGATATTATTATATGATATATGAGGACGGACTTTCTGTCTTGGACCCTTGGACCAATTTAAAAGAAGAAAAACCTCCCATATTGCTTTGTAAAACATCATTTACGTCAAAAACCAACAAATTGGGGCTAGCTAAAACATAAGCATATATTCTATGTACCCAAAAGTTTGCCAAGTAACGTTAAACACATTCTCAACATAAAACCACATTTTTCAAGGTTGAACTCACTGAAACTACAATAACCAGGATATAAGTGTGGGATACCATACAGTTATGGCTATTGTCAGACTAAACCATATTGGGCACTTAACACATATTAGAATCTTTCATTTTATGAGTTCAACTCATATCTTAGAAAAAATAATTAAACTACAGTGCTGCCAAATGAGGTATAGTTATGATTGACCTTCTTTTAATTAAGTAAATAAATAAATGTGTAGTTGTTTATGAAGGTAAATATATGCATAAAGGAAGAAATTCAAACAATGAGGAATAGTTTTTCTAATGTCCATTCCCCTATTTCTGTGAGCACCTCTCTAAAAAGGCAGAGTGTAACCTGTTTCCCTTTTTTGATCACAGGATCCCCCAGGGTGCTTGGTTCTTCTCCAGACTTGCCAGAGCAAGGGCTTATCAATGGATAGACACTTCTGGAAGCCTTGTTATCCATGGATGAGATTTTACTTAAAAAAATAGGAGATACTGCTTCCTCAGGAGAATACCAAAAATGCCTTTACCCATCCTGGAGTTGTTTTATAAATCAAGGAACTTAAGAACAAATATTGAACCTATGGTGTTCAGTAAAATGTAAATAAATAACACAGATATAATATTTTTAACAAAATCCTTTATCTTCTATATAAAATTATCTATTGAAGACTTACTGACTGGGGTACATCAACCATTTGAGGTCTTAGCTCCTTAGCTCAGAGATTTTATCTACTGTTTTACCAGATGGTTATCTGGAAAACAGATTTAAGGACCAACAGTTAGGACCAGGCTGTTTTCCATGGGAGTTTGGGAGTGGGGAACTGGGATTAGCCACAGATTGCTTCTTCCTTTGGTGCTGCCTGCAGAGCACTTGATTGTTATGGAGTTGATGGGCCTATTTTTAACCTTCTGGGGAAGTCTCACTGTCCCTCCACCCCCACCCTGCTTTAAGGTTTGGTCTTCCAATGGCATTCAGCTTTTCTTTTTCTCAAAAGCAGGGCCAATTTAGAGTTAAATCAGTGGTTCCCAACTCTGACAGCACAACAGAATTGCCTGCGGAGCTTTTAAAATAAAAAAACACCTTTGCCCAGGTCTAAACCTAGTCCCTCTGAATTAGAATGTGAGTAGGGTCTCAACTTTCAGTAGTCTTAAACTCTCTGGGTATTTCTACATGCCTCCAGGGTTGAGACCACAGCTGTAGGTGAAGGTGAAGTAACTACCATTGTGATTTGAATGGGGCTGATAAGCCTTTGTACTCTCTTTAATGCCTGAACTTTCAATTATTTATTCATTCCTTTTGATAAAAATAGCCTCCTTCTCTAGGAACCCTTTCAAGTGCAAATTAGCCAGGGAAAGAGTTAGTTCCTAACTCTTTAAGGTGAGTGCTTCTTGGGAACAAAGGATAATATAAAAGTCCTAAGTGCCTGAAGGTAAACAGAACTAGTCTTTGCAATGGGGGCGGGGCTGGGTGGCTAGGTGGGGTAAAGTTACCATCGAGGGAAGAAAGATTGAGAGTACATTTTGCTGACTTCACAATATTGCCTGGGGCCAATTCAGCTGTGTAGACTACATATTTAAGATCTAGTCAAGTTTGACAACTTACTTTAGCTGCCAAAATCGTGTTAAAAGAATAAATAAGCAAAACAAAGAGCAGACATTAAGAATGTAGGTTTGGAGCTATCCATAAATGCCCAACTTTTGAATTATCACTCACCATATGGATGTTTCTATTGCCGAGTGATCTGGGTTTTTAAAAATTCTGTTAAATGTTCTTTATCCCCACCAATAACATTATTTATCTTGCCAATTCAT